GAAGATACCACAAACCCAAGAAAAATGAAGAAATTTGTACCTGCTGACTGCTTCCACATTTCTGTCTTAGTTGTGCAATTGTAATATATATAGGTTATTACTGTAACAGTCCATGTTCAGTTCTGATAAAAGCTGCTGCATGATTTGCTTCTGCTACTTGAAGTTGAATTAGTCTCCAGTAATGGAGCAATGACTTTTATTTATCTACAGGTTTCCTCTTTGACCCTGTTCCTATACAAATCTTGATCATCCTTCCATGTGCTACCACATATTCCTGTGTGGCAGACCATATTGTTCTGCCAGAATGGATTGAGTAAAATCCTAGCTCCAATGATAGGGGTAATAAACTTATCCTACATTTCTGTGGTTCCAGGATTTCACCTGTGAACTGTTCTTGGAAAAAATTAATAACAACAAATCAGTGATTTGGGTAGTCTCCTATCTGGTCTCTAATACCAACCAGTACCAAAGCCTTCAGAGAACATGAAATACACTGTAAAGTCTCATCATACATAAGAATAGGTCTTTCTTGAGGCATCCAGGAGCTACTTTTAGCTGTGAATTCTGAATATGAATCCTAATAGCTTTTTACTAGTTAGTCTAATGCTTTTATTCCACTAATTCACATATAATTTGAAACTTTCTAAAACAATTACCTTTGCCAAGAATACTATGTAGAAGACAGGTTTATAGATTAGCTATAAACTGCGTAGCAGAATATTTCTGTTAAATTCTCTTGTCTGCTGCCTTTTAATTTCATTTTGTGCTTCTGTCATTGCATGGCAATGAAAGGCAAACAGGAGTGCTTCAATAGTTTGCTCTATGCCCACTCATAATACAATCAAATCTTAACTGGGTGTCCTTTTGACCTGTTTTCCAAAATGTATGAAGCTGTAATGTCTGTATTCATTTTCCCTCTTTTCACACTGTGCTTTCCCCTTGACTCCTTCTATCTGTAGTTTCATCATCTCCCTGAATCCCTTTTCATCTTTGCTTCTGTCTCTCCCCACTATCACTCTCTTACCCGACTGTTGTACAAATAATCTGTTTAGCAAATCAAAATGCTGACATTAACATAAACTGGTGTTCCTTTGTTTTTATTAAGAAATGACCAGTTAAAAAAAAAAAAAAAAAAAAAAAAAAAAAGACAAAGGTGTAAGACACACTTATTAATGCATTTATTGGCAATTAAAAACTGATTTGTTTGGTATTGGGAGAAGCAGAATGAAACTAGAAAATCACTGCCTAAGCTTCTCTCTTGCAATTATAAATAGGAATGGCAAAAGTGATAAAGTCCTCTTAGTGCAGTTGAGGCAAGGCTTGAGCCACAATGTTATGGTGTAGATTTTGGCATGACTTTATGGTGACACCATGGGTTTAGCCTGGTAACACCAGAAAGCTCAGCGAGAATGCTGTGTCCCAAATTCCATAGCATTTTTCTAATCCACTATTAGACATTATGATGAGAACACATTAGCTAATTATAAATCATTACCTCCTCCTGCTCAGGTAGGTAGTACTTAGAATCTCCCAGTGTCCCAGAACACTGTAAATCATCTAAACATGAAGCTCTGATTATCCTGCAAAATCTTGGTTGTATTTAGTTAGGGAAGGTTTTGGAAAGCATCTGGTATGACCTCAGTTACAATGGAATTCATTAACTTGAGTCACTGAGCATCCCTAACAAAGTATAGAAACTATTTGCATGGCATTAATATTCACATAAAGTAAACTAATCTCCTACCATTTTGTCTTAGGACACTCTGGGTTTGCTGTAAGATAAACTGGAATGGGGTCTCTTTAGGTTTCTCTAAAATCTGTATGGGATGCTTGCTCTACCATTTGCATCTGCAAATAGTACCATGAGACTAATTGCCTAAGCAAAAAGCAAAGTGTGCTTGAAAATGCTAATAATAATAATAACAACGTATATTAGTGGCTTCAGGAGGAAAAAATGTGTGTGATAATGAAAATGTTTGTCTCAGCACAGATATATTTTGGATTATAAAAACACTCTCCATTTTCAGATGAGGCTGTGAAGCACCGTTTTATTTGAGATGAGGTACCCACCTTACCAGCTGTGTATGAAAATGAGATTCTGACATGTGCCACCTTCATTCACAGCTATTTTATCTCTTCTCTTGTCCTAACATCTACAATGTTAAACATAATTTCCTTTGTAATTTTTTCAGAAGATCCTCAGCTGCCAGTGTGGCAGGTGGCAGTCAGGCTGGAATACACAGCTGCAGGGATGGAAAGAACTTTGTGAGAGCAAGTGAACAGGAAGAAAGTAGAACCACTGGGAAAGAAAACAAAAAAGCAAGACTTTATGGGGAACATGTTACACATGGGCTGGAGGTAGGTGGAATGGGTAAAGATAAGTAGTTTGCAACCAGAAAAATTATTTGGGTATAGGAACATGCTTTTTCAGAACTATCTTGAGTATCTAAACTTGATGTAGCTTTCTGTAGCTTTCCAGATCTGCAAAGCTTACCAAAGGATATTTGAGAGAAGAATGCTCTACAGTAAAGCTGGGTGGCTGCTGATTTCTTAATTCTGAGACTCAAACTTCCCCCTAGGTGAGTTGGGCCAGTTGATTTCCTTGATTTTGAAGCTTCCATATATGTAAGAGAAAACTACGATCATGCTTTATGATGTTTACAGGAATTAATAGTTAATATTTGTAGCATGTTTTGAGCTTGAAGAGTGCTACAGTTACAAAGATGGCCTTTATACCCCACCTATCACTACAAATAACCCTATATTTCAGTTGATGGATAAAGTGACAACTGCCATCTCAATCTAAACTGGGAACATTGCCAGCCAGGTGCAGCCTGATCCCTACCCTTGCCTGAACTGGAATAGACTCCACCGTCTGGGCATAATTCTTGTAAAGGAACGGCCAAGTAGTGACCAATGCATGCACCCATGAGTAAGCAGGAGTCACATATATGCTGTTAAAGGTATATGTTGTGCTCCTATGTCCTTAATGTGATGCTCTGTTCTTCACCTGTGTCTTTGGCTTCCTTCAAGAGTAGTGGTTTGAATCTCTGATGTTATTTATTAGCGTATGTGCAGTAATATACCCCTGTCTTAGATCTTGAGTACATATTATCCCTAACTCAACCAAACATAGACCCAAAGAACTCCAGTCTGAGATTAAGGGGGGTGGAAGAAAAAAAAAAAAAAAAAGGCAGCAGACCAAAGGGAAAGTGATGTACTAAAATCAGAGAAAAAGGAAATTTTAAGTGAAGAAGAATCTTCCCTGGGCCTATACTGTGGACTAGATGACCTAATATCTCTTTTCTGTCTCCATTTTGTACAGTTCTGTGAACCTCAAAGCAGCAAAATGAGAATAGAGCTGCAGGATCACAGGGAGGTATCAAGGAGCTGGGTGCAAGATCAACCAGGGAACCAAGCTTCAAGCAGAAGCACAACTCCCTGTGGATGTTCAAGCCCAGGGACACACCAAGACTGGTGCTCATCCCAGAGGTGGGTAGCAGAGAGGTACAGGGGTGCCAAGGGGGTGTCCCCGTCTGCTCCCCTGCAGCCATCAGGCAGGCCATGCTGTGCTGGGGCAACACAGCACCTGACAGAGACGTTCCCTGTCTTTTTCCAGCGTACGGGATGAAACAGGGAGACTTTGTTGGGTTGCCTTCCTTTAGAGGAGCTTGGGAAGGACCTAATATTCCCTCGGGTGGGATAAACTCGTCCTTTCTCTGCTTGAAGGCACTTGCGGGTGGATGAATGCGGGAACCTCCCCCCTCAGGCACGAGCACTGAGGGAGGGATGGGACAAGGCGGGCGCAGGGCAGGCAGCCCTGAGAGCACATCCCCCTTCCCGCTCCCTGCGGCTGCCCCTCCGGCCCCTTCCCGCCCCCCCCTCC